AGTGGAGCAAATTTCTAGCAAGCAGAAGTGAAAATTTTGCTCCTCCAGAGAATCATTCCCTCTATATAGAAGAAGAGAGTTTTCAAGATCATTTGAACAAGAAAGTTCTGTGCTTTATTCGTATGAAAGTGGAAATTTTCCTTCAGTTAAGAATTGGTTGCAAGAAGTACCATTAGATTGGAAAGATTTTAAAAATGCAACAGTTTTAAGATGAGAAGTGAAACAATGGCAGGAAATTCAGAAGATAATGTTCCTGACAAAGATGCATGAAATAAGGAAAGTCAGTAGATGACAGGTGTTCTGAACAAAACTTGGATGAATCTACAGCATGCAAGGAAGACCTGCTAAAGGAAACATGACGACTTAGTCTCATGCTTCTTGCCATTAATGGTTCCTAGCTATTACCACGTCACACCAGATAAGTTGCAACTGGGTTCATTCCAAAGAGCAACTAATTTTTCTTTCTAAATCTAAGAGTCAATCAGATTACTACTTGGAAGCAGATGCACAAATCTTTAAGGAAATGGTATAAAGAAATACCTTCTTCAGCATGGCTCCACAGTCAAAGACTATGATGGAATATTCTGTTATAATGGAAAAATATCCATGTAAACATGGCACAAGACCTCACATCATATCAATGTCACTCAGTGTGGTACAAACACAGGCAGAGTTAATGCATTCATGAAAATTATTAAACTACATTTCAATAATTCTGTATTATATTTCATTTCCAGGAAGCATGGTTACAGAATGGTGCACTTAAATCCTTATAAATGCCTGCGTAATTCTGCTGAGTCCATATGAACAAAAAGACGGAACACATATTACAAAAGACAGGTCATTTTGATCACCGACATAAGTACACTACTCTATGAGGCTGTAGGCAATGTTATGGATTCATCATGGACACAACGTATGGTGAATTTAAAGAAAGGAGTTTGTGAAGGAGACTGCAAGACATGAGTTCCTTGAGCTAATCACAAATCTGATGAAGTTTAACTCCAGTATGCCTCAAATTAATTTAACTGATGACAAAAAAGATTCAGAATAATTGCAAGATGTTAGCAATTCCACATCATGATTCATAATGTAAACAGCTGCACAATATTTTTAGCATTACAATGCTTGCCAATGAAGTTCAAATATAAGACACAGCAAAGTTACAATCATAAAACTCTTATTCTCTACACGCATGATATGCTGCTATTCTTGCACCTACCTGGTCAGATTTCACAACAGTGACATACACTTGTGATCTTCATGGCTATTCTTTTTACTGAAGTTAGATTTTAAGTGCCAAGTGCTAATCAAAAGTCGGTTGAGTGTGTTTACAGTGAATATAAATTTGTACATCCGATCCAGTATCATTAAATCAACTCANAGAATAATAGCAATTCCACATCATGATTCATAATCTGAACAGCTGCACAATATTTTTAGCATTACAATGCCTGCCAATCAAGTTCAAATATAAGATACAGCAAAGTTCAATCATAAAACTCTTATCTCTACACGCATGATATGCTGCTATTCTTGGTCCTACCTGGTCAGATTTCACAACAGTGACATACACTTGTGATCTTCATGGCTATTCTTTTTACTGAAGTTAGATTTTAAGTGCCAAGTGCTAATCAAAAGTCGGTTGAGTGTGTTTACAGTGAATATAAATTTGTACATCCGATCCAGTATCATTAAATCAACTCAACCAGCCTTACTATTTCATTCCCATTTACAACTGTAAAGCAGGAGGAATACTGTACAGATCACTTCATGATCTACTTCATAACTTCCACCTACCCTCATCAACTTTATCAGTATATCAAAAAGGAGCCTACTTTACTGGCATAAAAGTGTTCAACAATCTGCCACAAAGTATTAAAAACTTGGGCAATGATACTAAAAAGTTTAAATCAGAGTTAAAGAATTATCTACATGCTCATTCCTTCTACTCTTTAGATGAATACTTCAATGTAAATAGAGAATGATGTAAAATTAAGTTATATTAATTTTTAAGCTAAAATTGCCTGTACTTATGTATGTAACATTTTGACTTGTTCTGTATCCAAAGGTACTAACCTGCTTAGGATTTATAGAATGTAAATAAATTCAATTCAATTCAATTCAATTCAATCAACCCTACATGGAAATGAATGTCATATTAGGGTAACTTAATGCATGTGGCAGCATCCCTTATATGCATACTATTAATAAAATTATAAGTACAGTTTACATACAATAGATTTTTAACGTTTCAGCTTACCGAAAACATTTTCTGATTACTAAAAACACATATAAATTCTCATCATATGCATTTAAGTGAAAAAATTTGATGCAAGAACAAATAAAGTAAGTCCTGTTACATAGTTTTCAGTATTTTGCTTTTATTTTGACACCTGGAAATTGGCCAAAATACTGTCTTCGCCAATCAAATGATAATCAGTAATACACATCCCGTTACAGTCATATGTAATCTATATAAATAAAAATGTAACTGTTTGTTTGTCTCTGTTCGAAGATCTCCGAAAGTTCTTCACCGATTGCTTTGAAATTTTGATACAACGTTGCATTCAAATACGGGCGTTTTTTATGTAAATATTATATAGATGTCACACCTGTGATAGATAAAAACAGGTAAAAAAATGTCACATGTTCCGAATCCAGCAGTCGTTTCCATAGTAACGCTAGAACAGTTGCATAGGATAAGTGGTTCCGTTGCGTAACAAGGTATGAAACCGGAAATTATACTTCCATGGAAACGCAATAACAGTGGGCCGTTGCATAGGAACTGCCGAAACAACAAACGCGTTTCCCTGGAGATGAGAGGATAAGAGGTTCCGTTGCGTAACAACGGATGAAACCAAACACTTCTACAGGGTGTTCTGTCGTCAATCGAATACCAACAGATCGTTGTCTAGGAGTAACTGCGGCAACGAGCACAGAACACGTGAAATCGAACCCTGTAGAAGTGTTTGTAGGTTCCGTTGTGTAACAACGGATGAAACAAAACACTTCTATAGTGTTCTGTCGTCAACTGAATACCAACAGATCGTTGCCTAGGAATAACTGTGGCAACGAGCACAGAACACGTGAAATCGAACCCTGGGAGAAAGTGCCCTCTATTGCGTCTGAAACCAGGTTATAACAGTCCAGCTCCGAAGAGTTTTTTGGTGATACTGGACGTGATAATAATTGTACTCGCTGGTGTAAAAGTGAGCGTTCAATAAC